CCTCGGCGATGCTAAGGCCGGTTTCTACAATCCAGTTGTTGGCAATTTCATTGCGCAGCAAGCTTTGCACGGTTTCTGGTTCGTCCTCGGCCATCTTCCAGTTGCCCTCACAGATTTCCAGATCCGGCGGCAGGGCGGAGTCTGGCTTCTTTGCCGGCCATTGAAGGCTGGCAAGGCTGACACGGCTCGTGTTGCAGAAATGGCAGCAGGGCCATGTCTGGGTCACCCCAAGAGTTGGCCAAGGCCTGCAGCAGGTGGAGTCTGTACGGCTGCCCTGCCTCGGGGCTCATGTCTGGAGGGCAGGGCAATTTTAGAGCCGTTTGCGACTTTCAGGCTTTCGGACGGTGAGAGGGGTCTGCTATTCGTGGCACCAATTTGCGCTCATGCATCCAATGCAGGGCCTGGCGACTGCTTGCAGTGGGTGTTCTGGCTTGGGACAGCACCAGTCTGCGGAAGAGTGCAGGTCGGGAGCCTGCAAGGCGCCAGTGTGATGGTCCTGGAGATTTCGGAGTGCAATGGCAGTGTTTGTCGTACCTGGGCACAGGGCCAGGGAAGGAGGGTATTCAGCGGTCAGAGTGCTGAGGTATACCCCTTGTTCTTTCACGCCTGCAATGCTTCGGTGCTTGTATGAGTGATTGCAACGGGCCTCCAGACCCTGTGTTTTCGAACTGTTGCAGCCGAACGCCCACGATTTGGAGAAGGCTTTATTGTGCCTGCAGGCGTCTACCCACACCAGGGCACATTGGTGATCGCGTAGTCTGGAATATTCCTTGCAAGGTGGGGCAAGCATTATCAGGGCCACGATTCCTGACCAGCAGAGTCTGAGAAGGGCCTCGAAGACTACGTTATCCAGGATGTCGTGCGCAGTGTCTCCATCCAGATCAAAGGGCTCAAAGCAGTCAAGGCCAAGGCTAATGGCTGCCAATGTCACCGGGCGCAGCCTACCTGCAAACACGTCCAAAAAAAGAGCCTCTTTGACTGGGCGGGCGTGTGTGGCCTTGGCGACGCGCCTGGCTCGTTACGGCGCGCATAGGGCAAGGCTGGAGTCAGGGCAGCTTCCACCGGCATATGCAATGGTGAAAACGGCGCATGAGGCCCGCTGCGGGGCAAGGCCGGCCGATCCTGCGCCGGTCCAAGATCCGGGCTATTTCACGTGTGTTTGTTGTGGTCCATGGCGGGGTGCTTTTGCTGGCAGCCCACTATGGCGCACACGTGGGCGAAATGGCACTGGTCGTTAGTGCAAATGCCCGTCTGGTAGCGCCGGCAGACCTGTAGTGCGCCACTCTGCTTTGGGCTTTGGCGATGGCGTGGCTCCTTTGGATGTCCCCTTGCCTTTCTTGGTGGGGCGTGAAGGCACGCGGGCTGGCTTCAGGTCGCGCTTGGATCCCCTCTGCCGTGGTGTTGCGGGGCGTGGCGGTGCTGGCACGGATGGCTTGGATATTTTCGGGCGCAGCTGTAAGAGGCTGCGCGCATCGTTTCTCATGTGCGTCAGCTTGTACAAGGCATCATCCAGGGACCATTGCTGCCCTAGAAGGTCGGATACGGGCAGCCAAGCTTGCGATCAGCCGACAAAAGCTCTTGGGTGTTCACCGTACAAAGGCCCAGGTTAGGATCTGGCTGTGTGAGACACAGGTCGGCCTTGAGGTTTGACAGGTGCGCTGCTTGGCAGCAGGGCATTGCGGCTGAATGCATGGCGACCTGGAATTGGCGGCCGGTTCGGGAGGCTCTGAGCGCAGGCTTATGGCACTCGGCTAGGGCTTTCCCAAGGCGCGCTGCTGCCGCACTGGATTCTGGATCCTCAATGTTGTTGGCTGTCCAGAAGTCCCTGGCAGAGACTATGAAAGGCTGCAATTCTGCAATGGTGGGGAAGGCAAAGGCGAAGTCAGATGGACAGTCAAAACCTCTGGCCAAAACGAGGTCCTGCAGGCCTTCAGGGACCCGGGCTTCTGTCAGGACATCTTGGAGCCGATCGCGATCCATGTGCTTCAGTAAGGCATGTTTGGAAGGCTGGTTTGATAGGAAAAAGATAGCTGCGGAATGTGTACAGTCAGTGCGGATGGCAGGTACTGGACTGGCGCATGAGCACTGCTGAGTTGCTGACTTCTCCCAGTGCATACCTGAGGTTTGGCTGAGCTGCGGGTGTCAAGGTAAGGCATGTGTAGCTTATTTTAGCACAGCACGGCCATGCACGCCTTGCGGTTGCAGAGCTGCATATCTGGATGAATCTGATGCACAGGGTACGAGCGCTGCTTTAAATACAAACCGCAAGCCGTCTGTACCGAGTTGCCGTGAGTGCACAGCACGGCATGTACGGATCCCCAGGGCACAAGACGAATGCCAATTGAATCGACTGCAAGGGCTGGCGCCAGCGGGCAAGGCGAGGGATCTGGTGAGCATGCGTGCTCGTCTGGCGGTTCTTCTTCGGACTTGGTCATCCAGGTACCACGCTCTTGGTCATCCAGGTACCACGCTTTGGCGACCCCTCCCACTCGCGCAGCCTTCATAGTGCAGGGCAGCCGCATGGCAGGAAGTTGCGCACACTGCTCCAGCTGGGCGATAGCGCGTGTGTTTTCCTGCGGCTGCAAGGCCTTTGGCCAGGGCTGCGCGGTCTGCCGTTCATTGCGTTTCCAGCAGGAGTCAATGCTGAAGGCGTGATGGTCTTTGTGAATGCGCGTGGCAGACGTGGGGGGGCTCCTGAAGGGCAAATCGTAGTAGTTCATCCACCAGCTGCCGTCCCACGCGTACAAAGCGTGTCCGGTGCAAGGCCCAAGTACTGCAGCTCAGGCTTGGGCTCATGCAACCGGGGCCAGTCAGGGGCTGCCTTGGGCTGGGGCCCTGGCGGAGGCCTCTGTGGCTCTGAAGGCAATGGCCTTGGCTTGGGCGCCACCTTGGGAGCCGCCTCTTGCTTGGTCGGCAGGGCATCGTCTGGCAAGTCCGGGGCGTTGGGCCAATGCGGAACTGAAGAAGGACGAGGCTTTGGTACCTCGGTTGAGGCGGCCTCTGGATTTGCCGGCAGTGCGTCTTGAGGAGTCTCCGGCGCGGGTGAGGAACTTGGCAGCCTACTGGTTACAATCGTTGGCCACCTTAGCAGCCGATAAGCAAGAAGCAAAAGGCCGTGCAGTGCTCTCTTTTTTTTCCGCGCTGTCCAGTGAGACCCCGTCATATGGCAGCTGCCAGGTTTGCCTCAGGCACTGGCGCTGGCTGCTTTCACCTCAAAACAAACTGCGCGAGCGCAGTTTGTCATAAGCGCAAGCTGGTCCAACTTGCTGTTTAAATCACGCAGGGCCTCTTCAAGCCGCGCGTTCTTTTCAGCTGCTTCACTCGGCTCAGCCTGGCGGACACGGTCACACCAGTCCCGTGCACCCATGGTAGTGCTTTTGGTCCAGAAATCTAATTCTTTCTTCATGGAGTCAGTGTCCAGCCACAGCCAATCTACTTCAGCAAGCAACTCATCATGGTTTTGCCCTGCCAGGTACAACCCCACTCTGAAGGGCGGGTGATGAGGCCGGCGGCCCAGCTGGCTCGCTTATACCGGGGTTGCCTGAAACACTGAAGGGGGGGTCAACGCACATCCTGTTCCAGGCGCACCAGTGCCCTGGAAGCAGTGCTACTTTCAGCAATCCCGGTAAAAAGAACTGCGGCCGCTTCGGACTTGCTTTGTTCTTTTGGGGGTTCATGTTTGGGTTCAAGCTAGGAGCAGTGCAACATGCCTTAACGCTTAGGGTTTCTTTTCCCTTGTGTTTAGGGCATGTTGTGAATCGAACTACGCGGTGGCCGTTTTGCTCCTAGCCTTGACCCAAACCTGCGGTTTCATTTGAAACCCACCCACCCACCCTGCACTGCCTTATGCAAGGCTCTGCAAGTATAGGTCGCAGACGCTCTGCACTTTCGTTGGTGGTCTCCGGACCTCTTGGTCTCCGGACCAGGTCTCCGGACCAACTCTGGTCTCCGGACCATTCAGTCTCCGGACCTTGGGCGCGGGCAGGCATGCCACGCCCTGCAAGCACTGCATTCACTTGCAAGGACACGCATTGTCTTGCCCGTTTTAGTTTCACGGGGGGTCAACGCACCTCCTGTTCCAGGCGCGCCAGTGCCCTGGAAGCAGTGCTACTTTCAGCAATCCCGGTAAAAAGAACTGCGGCCGCTTCGGACTTGCTTTGTTCTTTTGGGGGTTCATGTTTGGGTTCAAGCTAGGAGCAGTGCAACATGCCTTAACAAACACGATTCGCTGCTTGTGCGAGGTTTTTGCGAGGTTTTGACTCATGGGCTGACACAGCCTGTCCAGGTCGGCCTTTGCCACGTTGCAAGGCCTTGATGGCCCCGGTGCTCTTGCCTCTCATCCGGGACCGGCGGCGGGGGCGCGGCTTCCTTTGAGGCGCCCGGCTTCCCAAAGACGTGCTGAAGCCCTGCCGGTGTTGAGAAAACCAAAAGGGTACGAAGGAAACCACACCCGATGTATTTGTTGGGAAAGGGCCGTGCCCGCGGCCCCGGCGGTCGCGGAACAGGCGCGCCGGGCGCTTCTGGCGGGCACCGATGTGTCAGGCCTGGAAACAAAAGTGCTGGGAGCTTCTTGTTTTTTTTTGAACTCTTTCTTTATTATTATGATTATTATTATTATGATTATTATTATTATTATTCTTATTATTGTGTTTTTCTCGCTCGCCGCGCGCCGCTGCTTTCTTTGGCACTTGTGCGTTTGGTGTGGCTGGGAAGCTGAGTCGGCTTGGCTCCTGCTCCACTGCGGCTGGCATGAAGCTTCCTTGTTTGAGAACTTGAGACCAGCAGCCTCCTCATTTGGCTCAGGAGGAATAAACAAATACACGCACAAAACAAAACATAAACTTGCAAAGCTCTTATCACAGCTTTGCAAGAGGATGCAGCTGCATGTCTATGATGAGCTTCATCTCCCGCGAGTGCAAGATCCAGTGCAACCACCAAGGCCTCAAGCGTTTTGCGCGAAATTTGGGGACACATTTGCAAAGTTGCCCCAAGCGCTGCAAGCCGTGCCTGACACTGGCTTCCCCGCTTTCCCTCGCCCGTCATGAATGGCTTCGTGGCCGGGCAATTCCGGATCTCCAAGCCGGAGACTGGCTTCCAGCAGAAGGCACGGCGACCCCTCTCCAATTGCAGCTCGAGACCCATCGAACAGATGCGGAAGTGTAGCGATTAAAACACTTTAAGACAACATCTCGAACAGCTGTCCGGCCTTCGGAGATTTGATCGATGGGTGTTGGCGTGCTTCACCCCTTCGGAAGCGCCGCGGCGCTTTCGGCGCGCGGCCTCGCGGCGCGTGTAGGCCGGGTCATACCGGGACTTCGGCACCGTGGAGCAGTTCCAGAAGACCACGGGCCTGGCGCGGAAGCGCACCACAGGCGGGCGAAAGCAACAAAGATGGGAGGCATGGTACCCTCAGGGGCTTGGGAACCGAAATCCAATTGAGGGGCAGAATCATTGTGACACAAAAACCATTTGGGGCAACCGGCAAGCCCACACGGGTGGTCGAATCGTGACTTTTATATTTTGCTGGGGACCCTTCGGTGGACAATATTTTTTTGGGGTGTGCATATCGACAAGGCCTCCGCCGATCGGAGGCACCGCCATGCCCCGTGAGAACTCCATCCACAAGGGCCTGATCGTGTGCACCAAGGAGTATGGCGCCTTTGTACAGATCAGCGCCTCGGCGTGGCACGGGGAGGGTTCTTGGTTTCATATGGCTGTGGTGGTCAAAACCGTTTTGGTAATTTCCATTTTGGTTGGTACTGGTAGGTGAATTCACCACCCATTTTAGTGGGATGTTCACTGGGGGTACGATTTGGATGTTGACCCATGGCCATAGCCCCCGCAATGGTGGTGGTGGGTTTTCCTGCAGGTTTCCTTTGAGATAGAAGCGTAGAGACCATTCGCCTCATCTTGGGCAAATTGCGCGCCCTTGATCTCCTTATCGCTGTGAATGAAAGAGAGGTGGCAGCTTTCCAAAGCGAACCTTGATGAACAGATAAGACTTGTCTGAGGGAGACCACGACGATTCCAGCCCATTGGCCGTCCTTCCAGTCTCTTCCTTCGTCTTCGCCGGCTCCGATGGACCGGTTCTCGGTTCAACCGATTGACACACACACACACACACATCTTTGCCAGGTAGAGGCGAGAAATACAAGGACGGCTTCCTCCACATCGGTTGCCTGCCCAATCCTCCTGGTGTGGAGCGAGTGGAGGTGGCGCTCGCCTCAGAGATGGGGATCTGCTGGTGTGGGCAGCGAGGCTTGCAGATCGACTGAGCCAGGTCAACTCCGTGGTTCGCGAAGGCGATCAGGTCTGGGTCAAGGTCCGTGACGTCGATGCCGCCCGGCAAAGTGCTGCTTGCCTGCTTGCCTGCCTGCCTGCCTGCCTGCCCAGTTTCAGAAAAAGGCGGAAGGAGGTGGATTGGATGGGGGTATTGATTTGATCGACGATCTGAGGAAGAGAGTGGCAAGTATGCTCTCGACATGAGGCACCGGGCCTGACAAATGGTCCCATTGCAGGTCTTTGGTTTGATGCGTGCACCTTGTGGAAGGAACCTGGAGCTTATTTAGGAATCTATGCGTCTCCGAAAAATGGGGGACGCAAAAGGTAACCTGGGGATCCACTTCGGGGAGATGCGTTTAAGAAATGCGTCGACGAAAGGGATTCACCCTGCAAGGGCTTTTCAGAGGTTCCTCTAACCCGGCTTTTCAGAGGTCCCTCCTGGAAAAAAAGGAGAGATGGGCGCGAATTCTGCGAATTGGCGGTGACGCATCATGCTGCCCAGGCACCGCGAAGGCCATTCTGGTGCGCGTAGTCCGACAAATGAACCTGCCTGCAGGTTCTTGTTGGTGAATGGATCCCCTAACCCTGATGTCCACCACAGAGTCCGTTAATATTCGCATTTTCTCTTGGGTCTGCTGTTTTGTCAGCGGTGGTTGAGGGCACACATGGCACAGGGTTCACGCGCCTTGGGCATGTGTCAAAGAGGCACCAAATGATTTCGGATTTCGGTTTCCTATGTTAAAACTAAACGTAGCCCCGAGTTTTGGGTACCCTGCGCCTCGACATCCACCACCCTGAGGAAAGCAACCGCCCTTGAAAGACCACAAAACTGACACCCGAGTCGGGTGTGCCTTTTTCGTGATGCTGCCCCTTTTGCGACTTCAACGGAACACCAAAAAGTCGCTAAAATGAAGAACCGCCTGTTTGTTTTGCTTTTTGGATTCCGGGGGTCCGAATCCAACACGAAATCGGGTTTGCCGCCGCCCGAACATCGGAGAATGCCCTGGCCAGGTTTGTCCACCAGAAGGACGGACGAGACCTGGATCCGTTCAACGGCCGCGGGCGAGTCCCCAAAGACGTCGGCTGGGCCGCCGGGCTGAGAATGGGAAGGCGTTTGCTCACCATCCTTGGTTTACTTGGTTTGTTTGTTTGGTTGTTTCTTTACTTGGTTTGTTTGTTTGGTTGTTTCTTTGCTTGGTTTGTTGGTTTGGTTGTTTCTTTGCTTGGTTTGTTGGTTTGTTTGTTTATTTGGTTTGTTTGTTTGGCTGTTTGGTTGTTTGTTTGGTTGTTTCTTTGCTTGGTTTGTTGGTTTGTTTGTTTATGTGGTTTGTTGGTTTGGTTGTTTGTTTGGTTGTTTGTTTGGCTGTTTGGTTGTTTGTTTGTTTGGTTGTTTCTTTGCTTGGTTTGTTGGTTTGTTTGTTTATGTGGTTTGTTGGTTTGGTTGTTTGTTTGTTTGTTTGTTTGTTTATTTTGTTTGTTGGTTTGTTTGTTTGGTTGTTTCTTTGCTTGGTTTGTTGGTTTGTTTGTTTATGTGGTTTGTTGGTTTGGTTGTTTGTTTGGTTGTTTGTTTGGCTGTTTGGTTGTTTGTTTGTTTGGTTGTTTCTTTGCTTGGTTTGTTGGTTTGTTTGTTTATGTGGTTTGTTGGTTTGTTTGTTGATTTTGTTTGTTTGTTTGTTTGCTTGGCTGTTTGGTTGTTTGTTTGTTTGGTTGTTTGTTTGCTTGGTTTGTTGGTTTGGTGGTTGTTTATGTGGTTTGTTGGTTTGTTGGTTTGTTTGTTTGTTTGTTTTGTTTGTTTGTTTGTTTGTTTGTTTGTTTGTTTGTTTGGTTTGTTGGTTTGTTTGTTTATGTGGTTTGTTGGTTTGTTTGTTTATTTTGATTGTTTGTTTGTTTGGCTGTTTGGTTGTTTGTTTGTTTGTTTGTTTGTTTGTTTGTTTGTTTGTTTGTTTGTTTGTTTGGTTTGTTGGTTTGTTTGTTTATGTGGTTTGTTTGTTTGTTTGTTTGTTGATTTTGTTTGTTTGTTTTGCTGTTTGGTTGTTTGTTTTTTTGTTTGGCTGTTTGGTTGTTTGTTCACTTGTTTGTCAGGGGGTGGGCAAAGGAAGGCCCTTGGAGGTTGCCGCAAAAGGATGATCAGTTGAGAGGCGCCAGCTGGCTCGGAGAAGTGCACGTCTCTTGCTCCCAGGTGTTTCCAAAGCAGCAGTTGAAGCACATCCAGGCCCGGCGGTTGGCTTGCGCTGAGAGTGCTTGGTAGATGGCCAAAGACGAGCACTTGGAGTGCTGGGTTGCCCGAGAGAGCAACATGTGGTTGTGCTGTTTGTCAGTTGGCCATGGGTCAAGATCCCGTACCCCCAGTGAACATCCCAATCCCCACTAAAATAGGTTCTAAAATGGGTGGTGCACCTACCCCAAAATGGGACCCAATTGGTTTTGACCCACAGCCAGTTGGCATAAGCAGCTTCGGGCGTTTTTGGAGCCCCGGTTCAGCGCTTCAGGAGGCGAACGCGGTCATCTCCGCGCAAAAGGTAGGCTTTGACGTGGACATCGAGGCAAAGAAGCAGGAGGCTCGCGCGCTGTGTTTGCAACCTGGTGTTACGACCTGACAAAATGGGTGTGTCAAAATTGAAGCCCCAGGGGACCGCAGGTTGTAGTTGAACCTTCCATTTGCCAGGGTTCCATTTTGGGTACATATTTTTGACCCACAGCCAAATGACACCCCAAGGTTTCCATTACGCGGGAACGATGCCATGGTAATGGCAAACAAAACATTATCATGGCAATAGAAGATCTGCAGAGGAGGTTGCCGGCCCGTCTTGGATGTGGACTGCCAAAAAAACACACCGGGGGTTTGCTCTGGCCAAGAAGAGATTTCCGTTTTGCAATGGTTCGATTGATTGCATGCAGCCCTTGTGGAAGATCTTGAGATGCAGCTTCAATATAGAGGTGTTGCCAAGACCCACCTCAGTTGAGAACCTAAAAAAGGAATCATAACTTGTTGTCGACTAGCTCAAAATTACTGGATATACCAGATGGGGCATGGAATGCAATGGCCGCACGTGTGATGTGTATGGATCAGGAGGAGGAGGCAGCCCTCAAGAGGATGCAGGTGGAATCATCTGAAGAGGAGAGTGCCCTGGCAGAACCGCTGGCCTTGCGAGCCCACGCGTCGCTTGGGCTTCCCAAGAGAGAACCGTGAGGCTCGCGACATGGGTTCTGCTCGGGCTGTCAGATTCTTGGTCGGCCCAAACCTTGGACCTCAATGGCCGGAGATGTGGCCGTGAAAACCGAGGGGATCCCATTTTGGTTCGGTGAATCCACCGCCCGTTTCAGAGACTCTTATTTTTAGTGGTTGGATTGGTCGATGTTCACCCGAATTTTTTCCCGGGTTTTGACCCACCGCCGTTTCTGCGTCGGTGAGCCCAACCGTTTCGTGCGGCACGTTCAGGACTCGTTGCCGAGGCGACCCCGCGGATAAGAAGGCGAAGAAGCTGAAGAAGAAGCTGGAGAAGCAGAAGCAGCTCGGCATCGTTGCTGCTCTATGGCACTTCGCTTGTTCACAGAACTGAGTGAGGGTGGGAATAAATAAATAACTATATATATATATAGAAATATGATCAATGGCTTACCCTCCCCTCCCCCTTCAATGGTCACAACCCTGCCCCGAGGTGGAAGGGTCCTTCCAATGCGGTTTTTCGGATTCTTAGAATTGTTCACGGTTGGTTCCCACAGGCTTAGGACTGTCCTCAGCCTACCAACTCACTCAGCCTCTAACCTGGTTCTCTAAACCACCAGCTGACCTGAAAAAAAAGAGCCTGTAACCCCTTTTGGACAACTGAAACAACCCAAGGCTGATCTAGAAACTAAGCCCAAGCCAACCTTACACCAAGTCTACACCCTGTATTCCGAACCCGCCCTCGGCCATTCTTGGCCAACCATGGAGCCAGGGCGGGTGAGGGGTTGCGAGGTGGTGGTGTTGGTGGGCCGGGGGATGGAGTGAAGGTTTGGGCTTGCTGGAAGCTGACAGGGTCAGGGAGCCATGGGCTGAGCCTGCTGGAAATCCACATGCTGATGAGGATGCTGGGGATGAGGGTGACAGTTGCATCGCAAACCAAAGGAGTCTTCTAGCTGGTTTTGAGTCAGAGGCAAAGGGTCCCATTTTCCAAGCGCATGCCAGGTGGCTTAAGGTCATTCGTTGTCATTGGGTTCTGGGCTGACCAGTTTGGCCCCAGAAGGGTTCTGGGCTCTTTCCGGAGACTTTCGGTGAGGCAAAAGCTCGAAAAGCTGAAGCAGCTGAAGTCAGAGAAGGGCAGCGAGAGAGGGAAAGCAAAGGAGAAAGTGAAGGAGAAAGAAAGGGAGAAGGACCTTAAACCCTCAAACCGCGGAATCAAACGCAATAAGTCCACGCCTCCAGTCTCATTGCCCGCGTGGCACGTAGACATTTGGAAATGGCAAATGCCACATGGCCCGGCTGGCGACAGGAGAAAGAGAAGAAGGAGAAGCCGCCTTCCCGCAAAGAGGGGACGTGGGCGAAGCCTTGGGGTCCCCCGCAAAAAACCCAAACCTCACCAGGGGGCTCTAGATTGCGGAGGCATAAGGCTTTGTTGGAAGTCGCCAATGAGATATGCCGCAGTACGTGTGCGATATGTATTGGCAGTCTTGGTGTTGGAGGTGGCTGAGTGCTTATTTTAGTGGTTGGCTCGAATTCTGGTCGGGGATGCCCCACAAGGGGGGCAAGTGAACAAGCCGATATCTCTTCACTGCCTTGGTGGAAAGTGAGGATGATGCCAGAGGCTAATTGGGGAAGAGTGGGACGTGAGCATTGGCAAGTTGGCAAGGCCTGTGACATGTCCATTCTTTGACTCAGGAAACGGAAGAAGTGCTCTTCCAGCGCAAGCTGACAAAAGAAGTGCGTCAGCTTTTGTTTTGCACGAGCACGAAACTTGCTAAGGCATGGGGCGCGAGGCCTGGGGAAACGCCAACGCTTTCACTTTTAGACCTTTGCTCAACGAGACTCTTCGATGTATTCTGCGCCGTTTTTTTTTGTTGCTTTTCATCAAGGCATGGCGAGTATTCGCGTGGTGTGTCTTGTTTTGCTGCGGCTTCCTGGCTCCGAATGCGATTCTTGTTCAGCATGAATACCTTGAATTATCATTCTACTAAACAGTGATATATAATATATATATATATATATGTATATACATATATATATATATAATATATATATATATACATATCTATATATACATATATATATATATATACATACACATAGTACTCAAGGGAAAGCACCCCCCCTCCCAACCCTCGCCCCCCGGTTTAGTGGGAGATTCAGCGGCTCAAAACTCAACGCTTGGTTGTTATGGTGAATGAGGTTCCTTTTAAGGTCCGCAGTTTGTCCCGCTCAGGGCTCCGGGGACTTGTCGCAGTTGATTTTTGCGTCACGAGTCTGCATTTGTTCGAGCTCAGCAGTTTGGTAACGGGCGCCAAAATCATGAAGCTCCGGGCATGCCGAAGTTCGGATTCCTGTTTTGAGGGCAGCCTTCTTGTTGCAAAGGGCAGGGGACACTGCTTGGGTTGGTCAACATTGCCGGTCTCAAATCTATGGACTCAGGCGCATTGCTTTTGGCAACTCCAAAGTGCCAAGTTTGGGACAGGCTTTGGTTCTATGGAGGCATGTGAGGAAGCTTCCAGGGAAGCCCCAGTTTTGCCCAGCCAGAAATTCGCCGGCCACTGCCGCGCACTGGCCCGGCTCGAATTTCCAGCCATTTCGGCACCCATCGTGCCCGAGGAGCGGCGAGCTTCCGGTGTCTGGTTGGTCGATTTTGAGCAGCGGCACGTGTCAGAGTTGGCAAGGAACCATGTTTCAATTTGAGTTTCCACGAAAGGGTGGTCGGGAAAAACAGCACCGGCCCAGGATCCGAGTGGTTACAGAAATGCACCTTGAAGGGTTCAGTGGCTTCAGGGTTGGCCAAAACCCTGCGGGTGGTTTCCCTATGACCCATGCGAAAGGGCGAGAGATGCATACAAGGATCACATGGCATAGCATTGAAATGGCGAATGATGATGATGTCATGTCTCTAAGATGGTGTCCGCTACACCCAAATAAGGGGTATATGCCCTTTACTTAGTGGCTATATATTGGCTGCATATCCCATTTAACCCTCGGGGTTAGTGGTTGGGGGGTAGTGGACACCATCTTAGGTCACTTTCCTTGAGGCTCCAGGCAATGTTTTGGTTACTTCTTTTGCTGGTGAAGGAAGGGCTACTCGGGCAAGGGAAGCTGTGTGCAGTTTCAGCAAGCTCCTGAGCTTCCCAGGGCCAATGGGGTTCGATTTGGAAGTCTCCCATTCCAATTTGGGAGCTTTCACCTAAGCTTTTGAGCGGACCTGGCATGCACGGCTCGCGCCCCGGGGAAAGCCGGCGAGCCGCTCGAAAGTGAAACCCTTTTGCCCCAGGTTTTCCAGCAATATCTGGCCACTCGAGTGGCCAAAACCCGAGCTCTTCTCGCAGCTCCGATTGCCAAGTATCGACTTCTCTCCAAAGGCCAGCAGCCCGAAACACCTTCAGGGTGACTCTTAAACAGGCAAAAGGCACCTCCTTGCCGGGGAAACACAATCCAACCAGATGCAAAACAATCACTTAAGTTCCTGGACTGAAAAAATACTGTTCAGGTTTTGGCCACCATTCGCGTGGCCTACAGATATTCTGGACTTTGACCAACCCTCTCAGGAGATGACTGTCATTTCTCCAGCAAACATGTCAAGCGATCAGGGCTGGTTCCCGCATGAAGGATTCGGGGCGACTTTAGTCTTCAGGGCCGGGGTCAGATCGGCAGGTATAAACCTCCCTGAGCTTTAAGATGGGCGAATTTTCGTTTCAGGTTGCTGAACAGGAAGCCAGCCACTCGCGCCTCGCGCCCAAATGACCCAAATGCGCATGGGTTGGTTGGCGCCGCAAGATGGGTTTCGATTTGCCCCGAAATCCGTGTAGCATTGACAGTTTCGAACCCATTTGTTGGAGCCGATTCAACGGGAGGAGCTGCAAGTCCTGGGGCACGAAGGAGCCGAAGCGCGATGTGGTCGAATCCGGTTCCAAGGAAATTTTTCTGGGGAACCCCGAAGAAGGGTCTTTAGGTGGGCAAACAAGCGGGTGCTCTGCTCCAAGGCGGGGCTCGCTCAAAAGGAGTTTCCTCTATAAGTACGAGCTTTTTGGGCTCATCTGAATTTGCAGGGGGTGTAGCGGAAATTCTAAGTGCTGGATCACTCATGGTTTCTCGTAAGGAAGACATAAAAAAGAAAACAAACACAACAATAGTCCCAAATGTGGCTGCAAAGGGTGCAATGTAGTCCCTTGCAAGTCAACACGGAACGCATCAAGGGTGCCCACCAAACGGAGATTCCTCTAAGAATCGATCCGGTTTTTTGGCGATTCATGTTCATTTGCTGGGCCGGGGGGTGTAGGAGAATTTCTGCCTGTTGGCTTTCTGTCTAGACTTTGCATTTGCCTTGTCCGCGAGTCCATGCGCCTCAGCTTTCAATATGGTTGGCCTTGGGAACCCTTTCGGCGAAATCTTGCGCGCGACTGCGGTTGAGCATGACTGAAAAAAATGCAGGCCAGGCCTGTTTGCACCTTGAAGTGCATAGCGGCAAAGCAGGGCACAGTGAAGCAATGTCAGCACATTCGCGTACAGCCACACGTACTCATACATACTCTGTCGCACGCATGCAAAAGGACACAACCCCATGCAGCGCACATGCACATGCAGATGCACAATTGCGGACTAGTATACACATGCGCAATAAGCCTGTATGAGGATGAACATATATACACACACAAAAGCAACATGCAGATGCTGCAGATGCAGATGCACATATTACTTGCACACGCATACGCGCGTGCACCTGCGCTTGCACATGCGCGCGTGTACTTGCAAATGCTCCCTCTCACACAGACACCCACGTGCACATATAATATAAACACATATATAATATATAGACAGGCATACACATATTCACTCACACACATACGACAAAGTATACAGGCACACAGTCATGCATCCATGTCCACTGTTAGGGTGCCACCATTCCTCCCACTATCATGCTGTGGTTGGTTACAAATGCAAGCTGATCGGCACCAGTCAAGATGGATAAAGCCCTATGAATGCTGGGGCAAATTTGCAAAGTGGATTTGGCCCTTCCACCGTGACTATGTATATATGGTCCCGAGACCAGTGATTACGGTCCCCCCCCCCCCCCCCCCCCCCCCCCCATGGTATGGGGGGGGGTTGCGGTGGGGGAGGCGGGGGCCATTATATATATACATATATCCATAATGCAAAAACCACGTTTCCAGCAGCACAATTTAGCTGTCTATGCAACTTGGCAGGGAGCTCCAAAACCAGAAGGACAGTCGTTCTTCTCATGTTCATGACAGGTTCACGGTAATAAAGATGTGAGAGGGGGTGCCTGGGCCGTATGGTACTCTCGGCGATAGGCCATGGCGCTGCAGCTGGTGTCTCAAGGCAATGCGGCGCCCTGGACGCAAGTTGGACGCGGGCCAGTGGCGAGCTCTCGGGGCATGGCGCCATGGTCTCCAGAGCTTGCCGTTGGCCCGGTGCTCCTGGTGTAAAAACAATATGCATTTTTTGTTCCCCCGCGAATTCGGAGGTCCAAGAAAGGGGGTGCCCCTTTCAAATCATCGCCAGCCAGGGACCTTGGTTCTGGAAAATGGACCCCTTGGTGGAATCATATCCGCCTTTTGCAGAACCGCGCGGGGTAGCAGTCATACCCCAACCAAACCCACCAACCAAACCAAACCAAGGGCATCATAGCCAGTTGAGGGAGTGGACCTTTGTATCCTCGAATTCGGATGTCCACCAAGAAATGTCCCTTCCAAATCAAAGCCACGGGTAGCTTCGGGGTGAGGATTCTGCCCAGGGCGCCCGCCCACCACTCACCGCATGGCGCGCTTGGTGCACGTGCGCCGAGGTGAACTTGAGGCTCCAGGCCGCGCGTCCCGTCTTTGGCAGAGGCGGGTGCCGTACAGTGCAAGGTGTGTGACGTGTGTTCCGCAAAGGCGCAGACACACGTAGAGGCATATGATGTATAGGTCTGTCTTTCTTTTTGAAGGTGGGGGTTTCCACTAAAAATGGACAGACCCGTATACATCCAGTCAATTGGGAAGAACGCATCAAAAGCTTCTTGAAGTGTTATGCCTCGGGCAAGGCGTCGATCCGGACAAAGTTGCCACCACCCTGAACAGCGGCAAGAAGGCAGCTAGCGTTTCTGCGCGTGAGCGGACAGACTTTGACTCCAGTTTCATTTGGCCTTGCCCCATATGAAGAATTTGCGTTTCTGCCGGAGTCACTCCCATTCCAATGGTCGAATTGTCCACGGCGGGCGTGGAGAAGTCGTTTCTTTGCTCCAGGATGATGTGCTGCCTGTGCTCCGGCACCTGACCTCGTCGGGCAAGGCCACCATCGAGTCCCTTCAGGCCGATTTTGGAGTGAAAAGCGCCTTGGGTCTCAACAAGGGCGAGGTGCCTGGGCATTCTCAACAAAACCCCTCAATTGGTGCTTCGGGTTGGTTTGGATTTGGATTTGCACCCCTGGTCCTTGGGTTCTTCAACCACCAAGCCGCCAATCCAAGCCACCAAGCGGGAAGCTGATCTTGGGGAAAAGAAGAGGACACCCAACTGCCAGTCCTGGGACATAGGTGCAGTTTTTTGTTTTTCCGGCAGCTTCTCAACAGCAACAAAGGCTTCGGTTCTCAACAGAAACGAAGGCTTCGGTTCTCAACAGAAACAAAGGCTTCGGTTCTCAACAGAAACGAAGGCTTCGGTTCTTAACAGAAACGAAGGCTTCGGTTCTCAACAGAAACGAAGGCTTCGGTTCTCCTTTGGGTTTCCCTTGAGAACCCCATGTTGCTGGCAGGTGTCGGAGTGCATTGGCAGGCTGCTGAGGCCATGGGAGGCAT